AATGCTCTTAACCTCTGAGCCATCTCTCCAGCTCTGACCCTGAACTTCTGATACCTCTTCCTCTCCTCTGCTGTGGAGCAATCTTTGTACACTGTAAATTTGTATTACTCTCATTGGTTAATAAAGAGCTGACTGGCCTATAGCTGGCCAGGATGAGATTTGGCAGGAAAGCCAGATTAGGAAGACTCTGGGAAGAAGACGGGCAGAGTCTGAGGAGTTGCCAGCCAGACGCAGAGGAAGCAGGATGTGTACAAAATGAGGTAAGAAGCCATGAGCCACATGGCAGCAAGTAAAGGAGCAGATATGGGTTAATTTAAAATGTAAGAACTAGTTAGTAACAAACCTAAGTTATCAGTTGAGCATTAATAATTAATAATAAGTCTCTATGTGTTTTTTTGAGAACTGGCTGGTGGGGCATAAAAATCTGCCTATACTACTTTTTTAAAAAAAATTTATTTATTATGTATACAGTGTTTTATCTGCATGTACACCTGCAGGCCAGAAGAGGGCACCAGATCTCATTACAGATGGCTGTGAGCCACCATGTGGTTGCTGGGAATTGAACTCAGGACCTCTGGAAGAATAGCCAGTGCTCCTAACCTCCGAGCCATTATATATATATAGTTGCTGTTGTTTGTTTGTTTTGAGACAGGGTCTCTCTAAATAGCCCTGGGTGTCTTAGAAGTTACTCTGTAGACCAGGGTGGCTTTGAACTCCTAGAGCTCTACCTGCCTCTGCCTCCCAGGTGCAGGGATTACAGCACGCAGTTTGTCATAATATTTTAACGTCACCTGAGGTGAAGATGAGCAGAATAAACGCCATTGCCTCAGCACAACAGGCCACGTCACCATGACTCATGCATCTGACCCATCACCAAAGCACTAGAGGACACGCCTCCCTGAGGGAGTCCACCGTCAGCTGGGACCTGGTGCAGACAGGGCGCTGACCTGTGTGGACAGAGCAGGTGTGCCTGACCCCTTACCACTGAGATCCGCTGAGCACGCTTGCTTAACCAGAAAGCCACATCCGACCCCAGAAAAGTCAGAGCAATTAGAACTGATGCTTTTATCTCATGAATCAAGTTTGCCAGTGATTTCATTCCCTAAACAATGTTAGTTCCTTTCTAACAAATGGAGAAGGAGCCAAGTGGCCCTCAGCAGGGGCCTCTGAGGTGGAGGAAGACAGAGGGTCAGTGAGCATAACCTAGTCTGGGAACTGCTCAGGCTCAGGGTCAAGAGATCGAATCCCCCCTCCACCCCTATACTCTCTGTTAAAGCGCTCCTCAGCGCAGGCTGGGGTTGGAGAGTTGTTCTGCTTGTGTTCATGGAGGGTACACACGGAGACATTTGCTTGCAGGTGTGTGTATGGGGACCGGAAGTTGACTTCGCCCTCCCTCCACTATTTTATTATCATATTTAATTTCATGTATAGATTTGCCTGAATCCACAGACGTCCACCATGGTTATGCCTGATGCCCATGGAGGCCAGAAGAGGGCATCGGATTTCCGGGAACTAGAACTGCCGATGGCTGGGAGCCACCATGTGGGTGCGGGCAAAGAACCTGGGTCTGAGAGCTCGTAACTGCCAAGCCATCTCCAGACCTCACCATTACTCTTCACCCTGTTTTTTTTGGAGGCAGAGTCTGTTCACTGAGCTTGAAGTTGATACACTGAGTGGCCAGCAAACCCCCAGGAGCCACCTGTCTGTCTGTCTGTCTGTACCAGCTCCTAAGTGCTGGGGTGTGCCACCAGGCCTGGCTAGCTCAAGGTTTCCAAAGTTCTTCCGTGTTGTAACATGTATGTATTTCATTTTTTTTTTAAATTGCCAGATGGTTTCACTGCATGGATGATCAAAGTATAAATATTCCTCATTAGCTAGACTTTCGGCTTGTAACCTTCTGTTGACAACCACGGGCGACACCACTGCGGGACATCTGTGCGCACACTTGGGTATTATAAGTATATCAGGTATAGAAACACAGTGTGAGACTGAGATCAGCCATGGGAGTGCAGACAAGGAGCCAGGCCTGGAGGCGGGGGGAGGGCACAAGCGATCTGTGGCCTTCCGTGCTCTGTGCAAGGATGCTGGCCTTTTGGTTTTTAAGGGGTAACATTCTTAGCAGTCTTTAAAGATGTAACATGACAGTCCACACTCACACGCACATTACCCACACACTGACAGTAATAATACACCAAGTGAAATACAATCAAACAAGCAAAACAAAACAAAACCAAGGTGGATGGCTTCTTACGTGTGTTTATACGTGCAGGACAGAGGTCAACCCAAGGTCCCGTGTAGCCCAGGCTGGCCTTGAGCTTGCTACATGGCTGAAGATGACCTTAACCTTATGATCCCCCTCTCTACCTTCCAGTGCTGGGACCGCATCACTTTGCCTAGTTTTACGTGGTGCTGAGGACGGAGCCCACTTACACGAAACAAGCCTCTATCAACCAGGCTATACCCCCAGCCTCGTAGGGTTAGGGTACTGCTGTGGGTGGCCAAGGCTAGTAGCTGGACTGCCAAAGCCGGGGATTTTGCTGCACAACTGCTGGAGGAGGGCTGGCAAAGCGCTAGGCACAAAGCCAAGCTCGGTAGCCCACACAGGCGAAGAGCCACCTGGCCAAGGTGTCCTTCACCCTTTCACTTCTCACTTAGGTTCCACTTGGAGGAAGAGAAAGCAAAGGTGGCCTGGGAGGCAAAGTTCCCGCGGGTGAGAGTCAGGGCTGCACATCCTGTTCTCAGGTCCTAGAGCCCCCCCCCAAGATGCTGCCTCTTTGCTGCAAAGCAGAAGATGGCAGAGAGGAAAAGGTCAATGAGCCGCAGGCAGAGAAAGTGTAAGAACGTGGTTTGGCTTCCAGGAAGAAGGCACAGAAGAGGGCCTTCCTCCTAGAGTGAGGGTGGAGGGGTCACCTGGAAGCCAAGGGAACAGAAGTCCCACCTGGCAGGCAGAAAGGAGGGGGTCCCCAGGGGCAGGGTGGAGAAAGGCCGCGCTTAATAGGCGGGCGGAACTTCGACAGAGGAGACCATGGTGATGACAGAGGCCTTGCTAAGTTTGGTACAAGGCGAATCAACCAAGAGGACAATGGAGGGAGCATTCCTAGGGGCGGGCGGGCAAGGGCCAAATGGACTAAGAGCTCCTGGGTTTTGTTTGTTTTGTTTTGAGGTTTCTCTGCAGCCCAGACTGGCCTTGAGTTCGCTACTGTAGGAAATAAAGTTAAGGTCCATTTTTAGCATGAGGTGAGCTTAGAGTTCATCAGACAAACAAGCAGGAGGCACTGGGCCCCTCTCCCATAGCGGGCAGTTAGCACTGACTATCTTAGAAATCCGAGGTCTGGAAAGATTCGAGAAGGGGGTGTCCTGAGTGTCATTAGATAAGGTTCTATGTGCTAAACTAACAGGTGGGGAGTTAGGGAGGGGGACATCCTGGCCCAGGAAAGAGAGAACAGGAATTTCTCACGATTCGGGGTCTTCATAAAGCACTGTCGTGAGCCAATCAGGACCCAGTTGGTTTGACTTTTCTCTATTCCTGTGTCTCTTTCTGCACAGTTGGATATTAAACACTGCCCTGTTCTCGCTAGTCTCCTAAGTTGCTATTATCTGATTTCCCACACTATGTTGTACCAGAGGCTACCTTTGAATTTTTTGATTCTCCTGCCTCCAACCTCTCAAGGATGGCTTTTACAGTGTGTGTCACCATGCCTGGCTTTTTAATATACTTTTTAATCTACATTTTTCCAATTGTTAATTAATTTGTCACTAAGACTCTTTCCCCACCCTTCCCCCTCAGCACTAAGATTTTTTTTTCCCCCTGAGACAGGGTTTCTCTGTATAGCCTTGTCTATCCTGGAATTTGCTCTGTAGACCAGGCTGGCCTCAAACTCAGAGATCCACCTGTTTCTGCCTCCCTGGGTGCTGGAACTAAAGGTATGTGCCACCACCTCCTGGCATCACTAAGGAAATTCAATGTACTTATTGCCAAGTTCTTTATATAATTCTCACAAAACTTATTTTATTCCATGTGTCTGTGCACCACGTGTAGGCAGCACCTGTGAAGGCCAGAAGAGGGCATCAGATCCCCTGGAACTGGACAGCTAAGAGGCACCATGTGGGTGCTGGGGACCAAACGTTGGTCTTCTGCAAGGGTGGTGAATGCTCTTAGCTGCTGAGCCATCTCTCCAGCCCCGTTATTATTATTATTATTATTATTATTATTATTATTATTATTTTATTTCTAAAAAACAGGATTTCTCTGCATAGCCCTGGCTGTCCTGGAACTCACTTTGTAGACCAGGCTGTCCTTGAACTTAGAGCTCCGCCTGTCTCTGCCTCCAGTGCTGAGATAAAGGTGTGTGCCACCAATGCCCGGCTGAAAAGTAAACATTTTTAAAGCCAGGTATGATAGTGTGCACCTGAGATAGAGACAGGAACATCAGAAGTTCAAGGTCATTCTTGGCCACGTAGCAACTTCAAGGCTAGCCTGAGCTACTACGGGAGAACCTATGTAGACAAACTGTTCCCTTCATAAGCAGCATCCTGGGGATGGTACGATGGATGACTCTATGGCTGAGGGTGCCTGCCAGCAAGTCTAATGACCTGAGTTCAATCCCCAGGACCCACATGGTGGAAGAAGAGAGTTGACTCCCATGGGCTGTGCTCTGACCTCCACATGTATGCCTCAGCGGTTGCCTATAAACACATACGCAAATGCACATCATAAATAAATGAGATTAAAACAAACAAACAAATAAAAATAAATAAGCTCTAGTTCCTCCTGGAGGAAACAAGAGAGTGAGCTACCATTCACTGAAGAAAGTTATCAGTCAAAGAAACAGGACAGAGAAGGATACCTCCACACTGGACACTGGGTCCCTTTAGGTCTGCCACAGTCCTGGTCCTTGAGTGTGACCTAGCAGAGAAGCCTCCCACTGTCACACAGTATCCTGTCAACACAGTCTTCAGGTTCCTTCTCAGATTCAACCTCTTTCCGTGAAGACACATACCTTGGTCCACCCAGGAAACTGGATGAAGGTGTCCTGCGGCAGGTCTGGGATGCCTGAGGGAATGGAGAAGTTGCCCACATAAAAAGTGGGGAGCGTGAAGTTGGAAGAGCTGAAGGTCAGGTGTCCATCACGGCGGCCCTCACCATGGGCTTCCCAGCCCCCAAGATGGCTGTGTACTGCAGCCTCAGTGTCCAGGGGAAAGATTGTCCAGTTGGTGAGGATACTAAGGTTGAGGGTCATGTTAGAAATCAAACCCTGTAAAGGAAAAACACAGAACCATGAGCTAGCAGGGAAGGAAGGGACTCATGTGTTTCACTGAATTCCTGAGAGGAAGAAGCAGGAAGTGTGGCTCAGTTGTGTGTACAGCCAGGTGACCCAGGTCAGGCCGGAGGTGCTGTCACAACCTGGCAGGAATGCAGATAGTTTATTTTTCCCCCCAGAATGGGTTTCTCTGTGCAGCCCTGGCTATCCTGGAACCCGTTCTGTCAACCAGGCTGGCTTCTGACTCGGAGATCTGTCTGTGTCTGCCTCAGGAATGCTGGGATTAAAGGTGAGAGCCACCATCGCCCGGCTCTAAAAGGAAATCCTTCTATTTGTGGTGTGTGTCTGGGCTGTGTGTGAGAGTGTGTGATCAAACATGCACGTGGGTATCCGAGGAGGCCAGAAGAGGGCATCTCTTGGCACTGAATCCCCTGGAGCTGGAGTTACAGGCACTTGGGTCCTTGGATCCAAACTCGGACCTTTCTCAAGTGTTCTTAACCCCTGAACCACCTCTCCAGCCCAAAGAGACACTTCTGCCTCTCCCTTTGACTGTCAAGAGAACTGAGACAATGGACCCCCTAAGAATTGGAATTTCCTTGAAAATCTGCTGGGAGAAAGAAAACCTGAAGCCTGCTGTCCTGAGAGAGAGCGGGAGCTTATTGCCCAGGAAAAGAGGTCACCAGGCGCTGTCTAGTAACAGAGCGTCCTGCTGGAGATGGGGCGATGATGGCCGGGGCCACATGGTTGGCCAGCCGGTTTAGAGCATCCCTAGCCTTCTACGTAAACCTAAGCCCCATATTAGGATCCCGAGGACGGAATGGTGTTGGGGTGGAGTGAGAGAGGGGATGTTACTTCTTTATTCCTGTTCCCAAACAGCCACCCTGAATAAATCTTTCTGCTTTTCAGTGCCCATTGTCTGGTTCCAGCTTACCACTTTTCGGGCAGCTGCGCTCCGGCTCCTACAGCTCCTGTAACAACAACTTGTCGGGAAGAGGGAACCTCCTTACACTCTGGCTTCACCTCAGATCACCATGAAGTCACCCTAACTTCTGCCGCTAGGGCAAGTAGGTGCCTCTGAGGGAGCCCTTGAGCCCAAATGCCTCTGCCTTCATAATTTGCTAGATCGGAAGGAAAAAATGAAGACCAAGGAAAAGGAGAACGAATTAGGAGGGGAATCTAATACCATTCACCCCAATGCAGAAGGTAGGGGGTCAACATCTGCTTCTCACACCAGCCAGGGAGCAAGCCCTGATCCTGAGTGTCTGAGCACCTGCCCAGCTGTGTGGACCATACCTGTGGAAATATGTGGAACTGAGAAAAGGGGAACCCACAGAAACAGCTGACCAGAACTAATGGGAGCTCACCGACTGACAGCGGGGGAACCTGCATGGGACTGAACTAGGCCCTCTGAATGTGGGAGACAGTTTGTGTGGCTTGGGCAGTTTGTGGGGCTACTGGTACCCAAGTACATGAAATGGCTCTTTAGAGCCCATTCCCTATGGAGGGAGACCTTGCTCAGTCTAGATACAGGGAGGAGGGCCTTGGTCCGGCCTCAAGTGATGTGACAGACTTTGTTGACTCCCCATGCAAGGCTTCACCCTCTCTGAGGAATGGGTGGGGGTGGGGTGAGGAGAAGGTGCGGGGAGCGGGAGGAGGGAAAAGGGAACTGGGGTTGGTATGTAAAATAAAAATAAAAGATTGTTTAAAAAATAAAATTAAAAGAAATTAAAGAGAGAGAAGGATGTAAGGGGCAATGATGATGACATGAACAGCAGAGAGGATGGAAGCTGTCCTGTCTGTCCCACAGAGGCCAGGGGCTCATAAATCCCTGGATACAGCCATCAAATGGAACCTTTGGACCACGACGTACCTAACTGTTTCACTGTGACTGAGACAACGGCCCATGTGTTCCAGCTATCTCTGGAACTATGCACTCCTGCTTCAACCTCTCGAGCATGGGGATTGCAGACACACCCGGCAGCTCATCTAGTTTCTCACTTGTGTGCTGAGACAGGATCTTGCTATGTAGCCCAGGCTGGTCTCCTCACAAGTGTGTGTATGTGCATATCTGCCAGGTCTCATCCATTCTCTAGCCTTCCTCCCCCCCACCCCCCGACAGGGTTTCTCTGTGTAACAGTCCTGATTGCCCTGGAACTCACTATATGGACCAGGCTGGCCTCGAACTCACAGAGATCTGCCTGCCTCTGCCTCCTGAGTGCTGGGATTAAAGGTGAGTGCCACCCCCCCCAGCTCATTCTCTACTTGCGTGAGGAGCTTCTCCACTCTAACGGAATCCTGGATCTTTGAAGGATACCATCTGATAGCCAGTCTCGATTGCCTGTGTAGTGATTCAGTCGGTATCAGGCTGGGGGCTGTGTGCCAGGACCCACACACCACACACAGCAGGACCCTAATCACTCTATGAGTCAATGTGGCCCACAGCAATCGGTCAGCAAGGTCAGTGATTACAGCCTGAACGCAGGGATGGGAAGAGATGCTTCCAGGGAGCCAAGTCTGAACAATGCGTCTCCAGGGCTCTTCTGCTGCCCACAAGAAGGTCCTGAAGGGAGCTGGGCAATGGTTGGGGTGGGGGGTAAAGTGCTTGCTGTGTGAGTGAGCACTGGAGCTCGGGTCCCAGCACCCACATACATGCTGGCTGGGAGTGACAGCCAGCCTGTAATCCCAGCACACAGGAGGAGACAGGGAATTCCCCAGGGCAAGCTGCTAACTAGGTTAGGTGATATGTGAGCTCTGGGCTCACTTCAGAGTCCCTGTTCAGTACAAGAGGAGGTTGACTAAGAAAGAAGTCCAGTGTTAACCTCGGTTCCTTACACGGCACATATGTGCACGTGTGCTCGCACACACAAATATGACCATACATATGTAAATACATAGATACTTGCATATGAGCACACACATATACATGTTAAAAAAAAAAAGTAAAAACATGGTCAGGAAGGAACCTCTATCCCTGTCCTGTCTGAGGCTTGGCAGTGCCTGAGCCTTCTCTCCAGGGAAGAGCAGCCTGTACCCCGTTTTGTACTCCTGGAAGTACCTTGGGGACACTACAGAACTGTAACAAATGTTCTTAAACTGGGTGGTGTGGTGGTTGACCCCGTAACCTCAGAATTTGGATTGCTGTGAGTTCCAGACTACCCTAGCAACCTCCCGCCCCTGCAAAAAAAAAGTTTCCTGGGCTGGGATGTGGCTCAGCTGGTAGAGGACTTGCTTGTCCTAAGTTTGCTTCCCAGCCCTACATAAACTGGATATGGTTGACCACGCCTATAAACCCAGTTCTTGAAAGGTAGAGGCAGGTGGCTCAGGAGTTTGAGTCCTCGCCTACACAATGACTTCCAGCCCGGCCTGGGCTTAAAGACTTTTCCTTAAATGAGTTAAAAAAAAAAAAAAAACCCAAAACCCAAATTAAATAAAAAGTTTCTTAATAATCTAGGGATATTGGTTAGAACGCCACACTGTGACAGGACAGAGACCAATCAATCAACAGGCCAAGGGCGAAGGGCTTTGCACAGCACGGGTTTGCTGCAGGCCACCAGTCCAAGCATGCACACTAGAGCCCACCAAACGCCCTGCTGGCTCAGCCGAGCCCGGAGTGCCCCTGATGAGCTGGGTGGGTTTTCAAAGCAAAGGAAGAGCATGGTGGAGCAGCTTCCGTTTCCTCTCCACAAGAGCTGAGCTCAGGCACAAGGGGAGCATTCTGCTCACAAAGCTCAAGGCTCTCATGGTCTGTGCAGGAAAGGAGCCCTTCCAAGAAGTTCGTCTTCTAGACAAACAAATCAGAGAGCTTCACTCGGCAGCTTCAGTGAAGTGTGTGGGCTCTGTAAGGGAGCTGCTGCGAGGCGTGACAGCTCTGCGGTGGCTATTCACACACACACACACACACACACACACACACACACGCAAGTGTGCACGCATGCACACACATACCTCAAAATGTGAAGGACCGGGGAATGGCTGCTAGAGTGTTTGCCTAGTGTGCAAGAGGCCACATATTCAATCCCCAGAATTTCACAGACAAGATGCAGCTGTGGTCCTAACACTTGGGAGATGGAGACAGGAGAAGCAAAAATTCAAAGTCAACAGGCACAGTAGTGCATGCTTTTAATCCCAGCACTCTGGAGGCAGAGGCAGAGGCAGGCAGATCTCTGAGTTGGAGGCTAGCCTGGTCTACAGTGTGAGTTCCAGGATATCCAGGGCTACACAGAGAAACTGCTTCCCTACCCACGCCCCCCAAAAAAAAGAAAGGAAGAAAAAAAAAACTATTCAAAATTTGTTTCTGTATAATGGAAGACGGATACAAAGATGCATGTTTGAGTACTGATGGCATGCACAAAACTCCTCCCAACCATTCAGGCACAGGTTCATCCCTCACGTAAGTGTCCTACCTTGAAATCGTTTATGTATCTGCCATAGTTCACACTCATCCCTCATGTAAGTGTCCTACCTTGAAATCGTTTATGTATCTGCCATAGTTCACACGCCCCATGTTCTCCACCAGAATGTCCAGAACGGCTCCAGCTTTCCCCTGAATGTACAGGGTTGTCTCAGGGTCTCGATCAAGGATTCCTTGGGGGACCTGTGGGTTGAAGCCAGAGGCTGAATGGAGGGTAAGAGCAGAGAAACGCAGCAGTGTGCACAGTTAATCTGTCACTTTCCCTGTCCTGAAATGTCACCAGATTTACAGGAGAGTCCAGATATGCTCAGGTCAGCAGGCCATGTTGACAATCACTCTCCCCAAAGGGCAGAACGGCCACACACAGCTCTGGGTACACTCTGCCTAAGAATGGGCTATGGTGAGTGAGAGGCCTTTCTAAGGGGAACAAGGTCTTATGACATAGCCCAGGCTGGCCTAGAACTTGAGACCTTCGTGAATCCATCCTACAAACGATTTACAGGTGTGAACCACCGTGCTTAAGGTTCAGGCATCTTTTTGCTTCACATATGCATTTTTAATATTTGTATGTGGGCGTGTGTATGCACACGCACAGGCGTGTAGACATATGTGTACCATGCTGTATGTGGAGGTCAGAGGACAACTTGAAAACAACTCCTTCCACCACGTGGGTCCCGGGGATTGAACTCAGGTCCTCAGGCTTGACAGCAAGCACTTTTATCAGCTGAGCCATCTTGTAGGCCTTCTTCATTTCATTTCATTTCTTTTTGTTTGTTTGTTTGTTTTTTGAGAGAGGGCCTTGAGTAGCCCAGGTTGAATTTGCTCTCTGTAATCCATACCTCCCGGGAACTTCTGATTCTCTCGCCTCCACATCTCACATGCCAAGCTTTCAGGTGTGGCTTTCCTACACTTCTATTTTTTTTTTAAGATTTATTTATTGGTTATATTTATTGGTTATATACAACATGTTTTCCTGCACACCAGAAGAGGGTGTCAGATCTCATTACAGATGGTTGTGAGCCACCATGTGGTTGCCGGGAATTGAACTCAGAACCGCTGAAAAAGCAGTCAGTGCTCTTAACCTCTGAGCCATCTCTCCAGCCCCCCACTTCTATTTTTTTTAAAGGACTGAGAAAGACGAGGCATTCCAGGGTTGTGTTCTTGTGCGGAAGAATTGTTGCACGATTATCTCACAACCCAAGTTAGGTGTGAAGAAGAGAACAGATAGAATCAGGAGACAGATAAGATCGGAGTTAGGTGGAGTCAGCTCACCTCACTTGCTAGGATGCCTTAACCACAGAGAATAACGGTATTTCCTCAATGACACATCCCTAACTTTTTTATTTGAATTGATTACTTAACTAATTTTCCAGAACTGAGGACTGAGCCCAGGGCCTTGGACTTGCTGGGCAAGCGCTCTCCCACTGAGCTAAGTCTCCAACCCATCTCTAATTTAAGAGTTTATTTTTTTAGATTGGTTGCACTGATTACAGGTCACTAAGACACAACTCCTACTGAAGGCCAGGGAATGACAGGCACAGGGTCACATCTCAGGGGCTTGTCCCCGCTGAAATCAAATTGGTTGGTTATAAAATAAAGCCCTCCCCAACACTGTGTGTGTTCACAGAAAGCACATACGTATACGTGTGCAGAGGACAGAGGATGACTTTGGGTGGCATTCCTCAGCAATGGTCCACTGCATACCTGGAACTTGCCAAGGAAACCAGGCTGGCGGGCTGGGCTCCCACGGGGATGCTCTTGTCCCTGACTCCCTGAACTGAGGTTATAACTGCATGCTGCCACACCTGGTTTTTTTTAATTATTACTATTTTATTTATTTTATGTGTCTGAGTGTTTCGCCTGCAAGGCCAGCTGTCTTCCCAGCGAGAAGGAAAGTATTTTACCTTAAACTGCTCTGAATGTGGTGTGCAAACCTGTAAGCCCCAGCACTTAACTTTGTTGTTGTTTTTTAGACCCTGGTTCATCCCGTAGATGTCGGCTGGCCTGGTCTCTTGCGATTGTGACCTTCTGACAGCTGGGATAGCAGGCACGTGCTATCACACTTGTTGATGGAAAGGGTGTTTAAAAATGCACCTGCATTAGGCTGTGAAATCAAGTCCTCGGTGACCTTTAGTTACAATGGTCACGAGCAAACCTTTACACTATAAAAATCTCATTTATGGGGAGACACCCAGTTCAACACACTTTGTATGGTGACAGGTACCAGGCAGACATGGATGTGACCCCTAAAAAGCAGTCTGGGTGACATGCTGAGCTCAGTCAGGGAAGAGGCGGCCTTGGGTTCAGGAGGCCCCGCATTTCCTAGAGTGTGAATGTCAGAGAACAGCAGAATGTCAGAGAACAGTCTGCAGCTCGTGGGCCATCTCAGCAAGCAAGGTCACTGCCAAGGGACAGAGGCTGAAACTGGAGGCGTGAGGAAAACTTCAAATGCCAGGATAGTAAGTATAGCCGGCCCCACCCACCCGTCAAGGCTTAGGTGTATAGCTCAAGGATAATGCTTACCCCATCCACAGAGACGTACGCACGATCGCGGACACCACTGAAGGATGAAGAGAAGATGGGCATCGAGCCATTGCAATCTTCAGGAAGTGTTGTTCGGTACAGTACATACCCAAAATACTGGGTAGAAAAGGAGAGAAGAGAAACGTTTCACTCTCAAAGTTCAGCTACTAAGAACTAGTTGCCCTTGATCTGGGTAAAAGCAACCTTCTGGAAACCATAGGGAATGAAAAGCTTCTTCCCCCACCCACAGCCAAACTCAAGCTGACTTTTTTGATCTTGGCGAACTATTTAAACAGCCAGGAACTCTCTTCTCTGCCACACAGGACAACAAAAGTCAAGCCATTGCTTAGAGCGACCTAGGGAAGTCACATCCTGTATGACAGAAATCACTAGTATTGACTCAGAAACCAGTGAAGAGTTGGGGAGGGTGGGTAAAGGCGCTTGCCACCAAGCCTGATGACCCGAGTTCAATCCCCAGGACCCACATGGTGGAAGGAGAGAACCCATTCCCACTCCTTTGACCTTCATATGTGTGCTGTGGCACACACAAACACACTCACACACACACGTATATACACACCAACAAAATAAGTAAATAAGTGTGGTAATAATATTAAAAATGGTCTGGAGAGATGGCTCAGCAATCAAGAGAACTTGTGACTCTTGCAGGGGACCTGGGTTCACAACAAGCTGTAACTCTAGTTCCAGGGGATCTAAAGGCTTCTTTCTATCTCTGCAGGAACCAGGAAGGCAAGTAGTGTACATACACGTAAAAAAAAAAAAAAAATTAAGCCAGGCAAAGCCCCAAGCACAGGACAAACACCGAGTTCTGCTCAAGTAAAACATTCTCCAGGTTCTTGGGCTAAATCTGCTTTAGGGTACAAAACAAGACTCAATCTGAAACCATTTGAAGCAAAGAGGAAAGAGAGAATAGGGGTGGGTACTGTTACCAAATCAGGAGTAGTATTTGTAAGACAAAGACTCTGGTAGCCTAGGCTGTCCTCACACTTACTAGACAACCATGGACAATTCCAAAACTTCCTATCCTCCTGGCTTCCACCTCCCAAGTGCTGGGCATGCATATGTGTGCCAGTAGGCCTGGTTACAAGTGATAATCATGCCATGCTCAGCACATGTGTGTATGTGTGTGTGTGTGTGTGCGCGCGCGCATGCATGTGCAGGTATGTGCTCATGAATGCAAGCCAGAGGCTTTGAATTCCTTGGAGCTGGAGTTACAGGCAGTTGTGAGCTGACATGTGGGTACTGGGAATTGAACCCAGGTCCTCTGGAAAAGCAGTCAATATTCTTAACTATTGAACCATCTCTCCAGCCCCTTAAATTCTTTTTAAATCTGGTCTCCAATGCATGAGATTACAGGAATTTTTGTTATTGTGTTGGATTTTCCCATTTTTGTTTTTGTTTTGAGATAAATTGTTTCTCAGGCCAGGATGGACCATACTCTGGAGGCTAATCCGGAGACCAGACTGGCTTCCGGCTCTCTATCTTTTTGCCTATGCCTCTCACATGCCATATTTGGCAGCTCGGCTAGACCGGTATCAATATTTTTTGAAGAGTTCAGACTGATCCCAGACCATTCCTCCCTTGCTGGAGTCATTAAAGTACCTGTTACGTGGACACAGAGGAGGAGATGTGTCCTAATGGGGGCGGGGTGGGGCGGGGCACAGGGATGATGTCATGGTGATTCCATGGGCCATTTGGCCCCCTGCCACACTTGGTCACATAGTTGGGATCTCAGCCCTATTCTCTGAAGTTAGGTCACCTGAGTCTTCCTGGCTTTTGGAGGAGTCTGAAGAAGGCGGCACACGACAGCACATGTAATGGTAGCCTGGCACATGTAATGGTAGCCTGGCATCTGCTTCCCGTTGCTTTGTCCATACTCATCTCGCTTCAACCAATGTCTCAGTTAGTTCCAGGAGCCTGAGCCCTGCACTCGACCGGCCTTTGCAACACGCTGTAGAGGGGCCACTCCACAGTCCCCCTGGAGCCACCGGCCCCACAGCTCTGCTTTTGAACCCCTGCAGTATACAGCTCTGGAACGGGGTGGGTGTCTGGGCCTCCATGTTTTGGTCTAGGACGAGTCCATACAATACTTTCCCGCGTAACTATGTGTGCACAGGCTGCAAAAGTGGGGCCCACTTGTTCACAGGGTGCCTGTCAGGGCTGCCTGAGCCACGTCTGCTGAGAACACTTAGCTTCCCTTCCTGGAAGCTCAGGCTGTCCACAGCCTCCGAGGAATCCGTCATTATAGAGAGATACACACATACAGAGGCAGATAGACAGACAGACAGACAGATGCTTAAAAGGAAAAAGCAGTTCACTACATAGACATACTAAGGAGGAAAGGCTACTCCTAACTGAAGAATCAGATTAAAAGTGGTTAGGGCAAAATCTCATAAAATAAAAAGTAGAGAGAAACTTCTAGAGAGCAAGGGAGCACCAGGAAATCAGGCACAGAGCACACGTACGGTCTTTTTTCCAAGGCAGGAAAAGAGCCTCTAAGAAGGAAAATTTAAGTGAATTTTTTTTTTTTGAGACAGGGTTTCATATAGTACAGGATGGCCTTAAATACTATGTAGCTGGAAGTGACCTTGAACTTTTGATCCTCCTGCCTCCACCTCCCAAGGGCTGGAATTATAGGCACACCACTATACCCGGTTTATGCGGTGCTGGGGATCAAATCCAAGGCCTTGCTCACAGCAGGCAAGCATCTTACCAAACAAGCCATTTTGCAGTATCTAATTATCGATGCCGAGGAAGTGATTAGGAAACACCTGTGTTGCCAGGAGAACCCAAAGTGCTCCCTGGGAGACCTACCTGTTTTACCTGGGTGAACGTCAAGGGATAGAGGCTTTTTACAGGTCCGTTGGGACACAGGATGTCCAGAGCTTCAGCCACCGCCTTGAACTGAAAAGAAGCAAAAACAGACTCTGTGTCATGTCGTGTCGTCAGTGAGCAAGGGCAACATTAGTCTGAATTATCAAAGACACTGAGATAAGCCTCGATTGCCCAAGTTCTGCTGGCTTCTCAATCGCCTTTTTTTTTTAATAAAAAAAATTCATGGGTTTTTAAAAATATTTATTTATTTATTATGTATACAATATTCTGTGTGTGTGTGTGTACCTGTAGGCCAGAAGAGGGCACCAGACCTCATTACAGATGGTTGTGAGCCACCATGTGGTTGCTGGGAACTGAACTCAGGACCTTTGGAAGAGCAGGCAATGCTCTTAACCTCTGAGCCATCTCTCCAGCCCTCTCAATTGCCTTTGATTTCACCCCACTCCTTCTTTTCTTCTCTCACCCTCCCCCCTTTTCTGAGTCTCATGTGTATTATTACCACACTTATTTACTTACTTTGTTGGTGTGTATATACGTGTGTGTGTGAGTGTGTTTGTGTGTGCCACAGCACACATATGAAGGTCAAAGGAGTGGGAATGGGTAGGCCTCAAGTTTGCTAAGAGGCCAAGGATGACCTTGATCCTCCAAGTGCTGGGGTCACCACACCCATCTTACATTGGAATGCTGGAGTACAAACTCAGGGCCTCATGTATGCCAAACAGGCCCTCCACTCATTGAGCTAATACACAACTTTTATTTCTTACTATTATGATCTTATGCAGTGTTGAGGGCCGAATCTAGGGTTTCCCACGAGGTGGACAAGCAAGTTTTCTACCATTGTGTTACAATCCCAGGCCGTGTTCTTAACATACATTTATTTATATTTATTTATTTAGAGGCAGGGTCTTAGTATGTAGCCCTGGCTGTTCTCAAACGCAGAGATCCACCTGGCTCTGTCTCCCTAGTGCTGGGATTAAAGGTGGGTATCACTATATTCTAATTGCTCCTCACTCTTTCCTTTTTTCTCTTGTGTATGTGGGTGTTTTGCTTACCTGTGTGTCTGTGCACTGGTGTTTTGCCTGCCTGTGTGTCTGTGCACTGGTGTGTGCAGTGCCCAAGGAGACCAGAAGAGGGCATTAGATCCTGGAACTGGAGTTAGCTGCTGTGTAGGTGCTAGGAATGGAACCCGGATCCTCTGGAACAGTAGTCAAATATGGGCATGGTGGTGCACATCTTTAGTCCTAGCACTTGAGAGACAGGCAAATGTGACTTTGAGGCCTGGTCTAGATACTGAGACCCAGGACACCCAAAACTGAGTAGAGAAAAATCTATCTCAAACAAAATAAACTAAACTTAAAAAAACAAGAGTAGTCGGTATTCTTAACTGCTGAGCCACCTCCGTAGGCCCTGCTCCTAACTCTTGATGAAAATGAAAATGACGGCAGTCTTAAAAAGAGTCCGACGCGCACCCATTCAGAAATACAGCTCAGAGCTATCTATCTAAGAAGGCTTCAAAACGAATGGTACCCAAGATGTGAGGTTGCAGCTCTGCAAAGCATTACGGCAGGTTTTCAAGTGAGGAAGAAGCCTGCGGCAAAGATAGCAGTGAGAGGCAAATGACTCTAAGATTAGATCTGCCACCACGTCACACACCACCTGCTGCACGGTGGCTTCACTCTTCCAAGCTTGGGTGGCAGGAGCCTGTGGGATGGCTCCTGAGAGTTGCTCTCTGACCTCCACGAGTGTCAGAGCAAATGCATGTTCTCTCTCTCTCTCTCTCTCTCTCTCTCTCTCTCTCTCTCTCTATTGCATGCGTGCGTGCACGCGCACACAAAACCTTAAATGAAGAATGTAATCCTATACACTACGTTTTGTATAAATCGGATACTGCTCTCCACATATTTCCTTCCCTTCCATCATCTTTTGTGCTTTGTTTTGAGTTCATTAGCCAGCAAGTGTCCTTTGTAGCCCAGGCTGGAACTCTCTATTTAGCCAAAATGATGACCATGAACATCTGACCCTCCTATCTCCTACTCCCAAGCATGTGCCAACACATCTGCTCCCCATCGCCTTCTTGTCTGAAGAGAGAATCTTTCTCTATAGCCCAGGCTAACCTCAAACTCAACTATGTAGCACAGGTTGGTCTCGAACATAACAGCAATCCTCCTGCCTCAGTTTCCAAAGTGCTAGGATTTCAGGTATGAGTTATCATCCCCAAATTTCCTTCATGGCACTAAGCTGTATTTTTTTCAACTTATTATTGCTGTTGTTTTAGACATTTGGAGTTATTTTATATCATGTACAAGAATTTTTTACTTTTTTTTTTAAACCAAGCACCCATTCTTAAGCAGCTACAGTGATGAGCAAGCTCCCCGTCCTTGTGTGATTCAAGCGTGGTGAATCTAAGAAGAGATTCCTATCAAAGACCACAATCTTTGTAGAATGTGGCACAGATTCCACAACACTGGGTGGAAACTATTACAGAGGCACAGGCAGCCAACCAGAAGTCAGGAGGCTTCGAATGGAAAAAGTACACGACGGTGTTTGGCGTTTGCCTTAAAGATAAAAACGTATGTTGCTATTTTAGAATTTCAAGATTCTTAAGAAATAAGTGACTGTTCATGTTTTCTTCTTTTTCTGGTGAACGAATACATGTGGGAGTAAGGATGGGTCGAGGGGGAAAACCTGAAGACCCGGAGGGTAAAAACAAACCAATTTTGGTACAACCTTCCTCCCAACAGTTAAGTAACTCTCTCCAGTTTTCCCAGAATAAAACGACCTTACCTCTTATTAATGAGTAATTTCTATATTTTTCCTCTGATGGTCCAGTATTCAATAAGCTACAAGGATATGATTTTTCTTTTGGATCTAATTTAAGGGCAGAGATATCAAAAGTCCTGGGGTTTGGAGGAACTCATTAAAAATAGGTGGATGGGGCTGGCAAGATGGTTCAGCAGGTAAGAGCTCTTGTTATGTCTGATGACCTGAGTTTGAGTCCCTAGACCCCCACGGTAGAAAGAGATAACAGACTCCTTCATGTTGTCCACTGGCCTCCATCACGGTATGCACCTCTCCCAACCCCCAAAATAAATGCACTAATGAAGAAAGAAATTAAAGAGGCAAACGATGGGAGAAAGCCTCACTGGGCAGAATAAGGAGCAGGATGTTCCTCCCACAGCACTGCCTCTGAAAGCCAAGCACGGAGCCAAGTGACCCGAGCGGCTCAGGAACAGCCCTCACTCTCCTGCGGTGTCTCTGCATCCTGTCACTTGACATCCACATCTTATCTCCCATCGCTGCGTTCCCCTAGAAACGTCAATCACTCCGCCAGCTCTCAGAAGAGAGATTCGGAGAAACCCGGCAAGCCCCCGGCCCGCCTGAGACACTTTCACTCACTGTCTCCCCATGGGACTCTCCGTGAGGTCTTGACTTTGTTTTTCTTTTTGAGACAGGATTTTTAGGTAGTCCAGGCTAGCCTCTCACACACCCTGTAGCCAAGGATGACCTTGAACACTTGATTCTCCCGCCTCTACTTTCTGAATGCTGGGGCGAAGGTGTGTGTCAGCACACCTGGTTTATGAGGTACTGGGGAGGGAACCCAGGACGCCACAGATGCCAGGCGAGCGCTCTACCCACTGATCTACACTCCCAACCTTGTGTCTTACCTTTCTCAGAGCAACCTTTCCATATGCGAACTTGGGTGTCGATGGAGGGATAGGACCTTTCGGGACTTCTTTAAACTATAAAGCAGAGTGGGTGAGAGAAGAGGGGGAAAAAAAAAAAGTTAACCCTTTAGACACACACCTGTAAAATTATTTTTTTCTCTTCTTTTCTTTTTTGTTTGTCTAGACAGGGTTTCTCTGTGTTACAGCCCTGGCTGTCCTGAAACTCACTCTGTAGACCAGGCTGGCCTCGAACTAAGAGATCTGCCTGTCTCTGCCTCCCAAGTGCAGGGATTAAAATCATGTACCACCATGTCTCATCTTGGTTTAATAATGTGTTATTGGTAGTAGTTTATTGCTTAGCAAAATTGTAACGTCCTATCCAGGTAATTAATGTTTCAGAAAATAAGCAAATATACACAAATGCTATACTTCATATCCTTTATTTTTCCATCATAATCTGTGCCTGAAACATGGCTTCCAAACTGAACGTCAATACGGCTTGTCCAGCATTTGGAGGGGCGCACTCAGCAGAGAGCTGCTCCTCCCCTGGGAATCCAGTAGATCCCGAGGAAACTGGCTCATCCTGCTCTAGTCTCATACATCCGCCTATTCAGCATTTTCGTGTGGAGATGCTCGGTAGTGGAAAATTATAAAGAGTCCTTGTTCAGTGAGAGACACCTGCGTAGGCTGTATGAACCTCGTAGTAAGTCACATGTTCAAGATTCCCTGATTATCACACAGCCAGAAAGCGTGAGCAACTTTGCTCAGAGACGAGTCAGAGGCCAATGGCTGGGCTGAGTGGGCAGGGTGCCCACCACAGAAGCATGAGGACCCGAGTTCAGATCCTCAGGACTTACATGAAAGTCAGGTGTGGCGCTACACATGTGTAACCCAGCACCAGGGAGACTGAAGTGAGGTGAATCCCCAGGGCTTGCTAGGCAGTCAGTCTAGCTGAACAGCAAGCTCAGAGTCCAGAGAGGGATCTTGTCTCAAACAACAGACCAGAGACAGACAGGGGGAGATGTCAGAAGTTGGCCTCTGTCCCTGACACATGTATGAACAGACAAGCTCACAGGAGTGCACATGCGCTCTCTCTCTCTCTCTCTCTCTCTCTCACACACACACACACACTAGAGAACTATTGAAACAGGTTACCAATTTATTCAAGAGCTCATAAAAACAGAGTTACCAGTGCCTCATTAGGACGGGAGAGGGAGGGCCGCTTTACTCTATAGTTTTATGGTCAAAGTGTTAACCGTGCCTGGTTCAGCTTTACCCACACCAAAGACAGTATCTTAGAAAAATGCAAATGCCACAAGTTTTTGTCAAGCCTTGATGATTTGAAGATTCATATGTGACCTTTATCAGTGACTATAGGCTTAGCACAGCCTGCGGGGAAGCCGTTCTTTCCCTTTCCATTGGGGTACCCTTAACCCTGACTCACAGGGAGAGAGAGACACTTTCATTCTCTGAGTCTTTGGAGAAGGCAGGGGCCAGGCAGACTCTACATGGGCACTGGTCATCAGGTAGTTCCCTTCCTCATGCAAGCAAATATTCCAAACACTTTAACAAATCCATTGCAAGTCCCGTGAGAAAGACCACTAAGGGCCAGAGACTTGCTCAGAGACACGGGCAAGGCCCTAGGCATGATCCCCAGCACTGGGCGAAACAAACAGAAGGCTCCACTCTGTCTTTTAAAATAAGCCATTCCAGAGCCGGTCGGTGATGGCCCATGCCTTTAATACCAACACTTGTGGGGTGGGCAGAGGCAGGCTGAGCCCTGTGGGTTCAAGGCCAGCCTGGTCTAGAGAATGAATTCCAGGACAGCTAGGGCTACACAGAGGAACCTGTCTCGAAAAACCTGAATGAATGAATGAATGGGAAAAAACAGTCTCAGTCTGGCCTAGCGGATGCATGCAAAAGTTCAGTCTGGCCTAGCGGATGTATGCAACAGTTCAGTCTGGCCTAGTGGATGTATGCAACAGTTCAGTCTGGCCTAGCGGAGGTACACAACAGTTGAGTTTGGCCTAGTGGATGTACGCAACAGTTCTGTCTTGGACCCTGGCTTCATCTATCTCCCTGCATGGCACTGGTTGGCTCCTTCCAATTGTCCTAGAAGCAGGGCACTTTCCCTGGCTGAGTTCCGACAATGTTCCAGCCCTGGCCATCAACACGCTGCTCTCTCGCCTCTGCCTACAAGTCTTGGCTCACATATTACCTTCTGCAGGAGGCCTGTATGTACCGAGAAGCTAAAATCAGCTAGCATAAATCAGTACATGACAGATACCTGCTCAGTCATCTGTGAAGGAATGAGACCCATAGATAAAAACATTACCTGAAGCCAAAATAGTACTAATTAAGTAATCAATTAAAACATGATTCCAAGTAGCAGATTCTCAAGGTAGCGGAGGATGACCTTGGACTCCTGATCCTCCTGCCTCCACTTCTCAAGTGGGATTCCACGTGTCTGCCATCACGCCCAGCCCAGGTTTTGTGGGGGCTGGGGACTAAACTCAGATCCACCGGAAGTGCCTTTACCTGCTGATACATCTCATCAGGTCCTTATTCCATCTTAAAATTGCGTTTTCAGGTAGAGTCTCACATAGTCCAGGATGGCCTCAAATTTACTATGTTGCCAAGGGTGACTCTTGATCCTCCTGCTCCCATCTCCTGAACGCTGGGATGGCAGGTGTGCGGCCCCATATCCTCTACACAGTGCTGGGGATCATATCTAGGGCTCCGTGCAAGCCAGGCAACTACTCTATCAACCGAGTTCTTCACTATTTATGAACCACATGAGTGCTGGAGCTTCCTGAGAGCCAGGCACAGAGGGGTGCATATTGTACAACTCCATTTATATCAAGGTCAAAACAAGCAAAGTTAATATATGCAACAGAAGTTGGGGCAGTGGTCAGCTCAGAGCAGGTGGGTGGGTGCTGAGGATGAGGAAGGAACACCAGGGAGGCTCCCACTGGGTGTTGGCTGCTGTGTTCTGTTCACTTTGCATACACAGTAGCCTTGGGACTTCTAAGGACACAGGTAATAACACACTTGAATGGGTAAGAAAACAAAAACACAGCAAAAACCCTTCCCAACCAGAAGAAGGGAAACGACAAAACAAAAACATCCTCAAACAAAGGCAAAAGGGAAATAAGGAGAAGAAAAACAACAAAAGGTAGAACATGAAGAAATTAGCTGAAATTAATCTCCAAAGTAGTTTTCACACAAGCAAGAGGGGCCCCTCAAAAGGCTGGGCAGGGTGGCATATGCCCGTGATCCTAGAGATGGGGGTGGAGACGGAAGGGTTCCTGGGGCTTTCTCGTCAGTCAGCCAGCTGAATCAGGGAGCTCCAGGGTCAGGGTGAGACTCTGCCTCAAGAGTAAGGTGAGGAAGGACTAAGGAAGACACATAACGCATACTTACAAACATACACATGCACACATACAAGATGGAAATCTATCAGTATGTATCAAGCGTTATGATGAATTGGGCTGCATGGTCCAGCGGTTAAATGTGAACTCTCTTGAGTTTAGTTCACAGTACCAACCCACACGGTGTAGCTCACAACTGCCTGGAACTCTGCTCCGGGGTCCAGTGGCCTTTTTTGGCATCCTCAGGTACCCACACACATACACACCACACCCACACACAATAAATAAGTAATTTTTTTTTTATTTTTAGAGACAGGGTTTCTCTGTGGCTTTGGGGCCTGTCCTGGAACTAGCTCTTGTAGACCAGGCTGGCCTCAAACTCACAGAGATCCACCTGCCTCTGCCTCCCGAGTGCTGTGATTAAAGGCGTGTGCCACCGCTGCCTGGCTACAAAAATAAACCTTAAAAAAAATAAATAAAACCTTTAAACGGTAAAAGAAACTTTAGATGAGAATATATTTCTCTCTTTCTCTATCTTTTGAGACAGTGTCTTATGTAGCCCAGGCTGGCCTTGAACATACGACCTAGAATGATTTAACTGCTGGTGCCCTTGCTCCACCTCCAGATTACAGCTGTGTACCACACCTGGTTTATATCATGCTTTTCCAGAACCTTCCAGCTATGGTATGTTAATCCTGGCTTTAATCCTTTAATCCTGGCTCTCAAAAGGCAGAAGCAGGCAGATCTCTGTGAGTTCAAAGTCCCGACCTCATCTATGCAGAGAGATCCTGTCTCAAAACACAAACAAGAAACCCCCCAAAAAAACGAAAGAAAATATTTCCTAATACAAATCTTAACACATGCTTAAAGCTGACATTACATAACACTTAAGTTCTACCACTATAGAAAGAAAACCTAGATTTTTCAAAACTTCAAAACTCTGGTGACTGAGCAGAAAAACTGTGGGTTTTTTTTGTTTTGTTTTCTTTTCTTTCTTTCTTTTTCTTTAAAAAAAAAAAACTCACCGCAGAGACAGGAAACCCCACCTGAGTACTTAGGTGCTTCAAAGGCTGGCTGCTGGCAGGAGCCAGAGGTTCCAGAGGCAGCTAGAGCAAGCAGCAGTCACTTGGCCCAGATAGAACACCACGTTTCTCCAGCACGTGCACATCTGCCTGCACACTGGTGTCAACCATTTATCCTTCAACACACATGAGCTCCCACAAGGACACATCTTCTGGCTTCTACTTGCTGGACGTACTATGTCAGAGACCACCCTGGATAGCTTTAGACACGTCCCTGGCTCTCCCTACTCATGACTGGGGACCCTAACTCCACTCCTACGGAGATGGAGGACACGGAGCCTACAGCCTTGCTGATAAACTCATGGAGTCTTCACTGGGTGCGGCTGTGCCCCAAACCATGCCTCCCTTCAACCACGCTGTCGATAAGGTTCCAGGTAGGAAGTCACCTACAGAGTCATAGGGAGTTCATGACAGGCTCCCTACCAGTCCAGCTTGCCAAGAATCCAAAGGACCCACCTTCTGGATGACATTTCGAAGAGCAAAATACTTCTCAGTGAGGTCCCCGGCCTCACTCAGTGGGGCATCGTAGTCATAGCTGGTAGGCTGTGCCGCGTAGGGCATGTTGGCACCTAGAAGACAAAAACAAATAAATATGTCACTGGTCACTACTGTGGGCCTTGCTCAGGGACACAGGTTAGGGCGAGAAGAAATGAAAGACACAGTAAAGAGCTAGGCAGTGGTGGCTCGGGAGGCAGAGGCAGGCAGATTTCTCTGAGTCGAGGCCAACAGAGCGATTTCCAGGACAATCAGGGCTACACTGGGAAATCCTGCCCAAAACAAAACAAAACAAAAAATAAAAGAAATCAAACAATAAACAGACACATAAATGCCCAAATCATCCGAGCTGGGATCCAGCTGACCAAGTGCTTCCCCAGCACAGCAGACACCGGATGTGGTGGCACAGGCCTGCAACCGAGCATTTGGGAGGTAGGGCAGGAAGATCAGAAGTTCAAGGTCATTCTCTCTTCTCATTCTAATTTAATTTTGTGTGCATGTGTTTTCTTCAGTATATATGCCATGTTTGATCCACCTGAGGCCAGAAGAGGGTGTCAGGTTTCCTGGGACCGGAGTTACATACAGCTGTGAGAAACCATGTGGATTCTGGGAATCAAACCCAGGCCCTCTGGAAGAGCAGTCGGTTCTAGGACCTGCTTTTCCTCAGTTCATGTCCCTCAGGGGACCGACCGCCTTTATCTATCAACCATTGAGGCTGGGGACCTGGGGACGTACAAACCACCTCCCTTGCTCCAGATTTCCTCAGGACTGGCTGAAGCCACTCCCAGAGCTACACCACCCCGCCTTCTGCACCCAGTCATTCCTCTGTGTGGCAGGTGCTGCTCCTGAGAACACACCCAAGGATGGTCTTGTCTGGCTACCGTGGGGCCTTCTCCTGTGATGGTTGAGACTTGAGGGACTTAGAATCACGCAGAAGACAAACCTCTGGGGTATGTCTGTGGGGGGAGTTTCCAGGCCCAGTTAACTGAGGTGAGACGATCCACCCTAACCATGGAAGAAGCTCCCATTCTATAGGCTGGTGTCCTACCCTAAGGACCAAGCCAGCTGAGACCGGCATTCGTCTCTCGCGGCTTCCAGACTTCAGATGTGGTATGACCACCTGAAGTTCCCGCTCACTTCCTTATGTTTGCTTTTGTGAAGTGTTTTATCATAGCAATGGTAAGTATAATCAATACAACTTCCCTGGAACTTGACCCGTGACAAAGACCAATGAGGAGAGGTCGGGGCTGAGGACACAAAATGACCAGAAAAATAATTCCGTAGCAATTATTGTTCAAGGTGCAGAGTCTAGACCAGAAACTCCTAAGCTTGCCAAAGATGACACCCCCAGGTCCAGGCTCCCTGAATATTGGCCAGCCCTTTGAAAATACACCCATGCATAAAGGACATATGGGAACCTGCAGAAACGGTGTTAGAACCCTGCAGTGGAGAGCCTGGGTCCCGTGGGGGGCTGAGAGCAGAGACGTCCAGGTTAACTCCAAACTACTATGCAGTCAAGGATGACCTTGAACTTCTGATCTCCTGCTGCTGGGGTCACAGGTGTGAATTACCAAGCCAGGTTTTTGCCGTGCTGGGGTGGAATTCGCGGCCACCTGCAGGCTAGGTGTACTGCTGCAGCCTACTGTGGACCAGCAAGGCTTGTGCATCTTCTAGCTCAGACAGCCCTCTGCCATGCAGGCATGTCAGAATGAAGTGGCTTTATGATGGCTCTCTTTAAGAGCTTAATTTGTAAGCAAATGAGGAAAAATTATGACAGTTCTCCAATACTCTGTGATCAGCTCCCAAACGACGGGCCTGAGGACCCGGTGTCGGAGCAGCTGACGAAACAGCCAGGGGATCAGGTTGGCCTCGCTTTCTCATCAATTTGCACAGAATCTCACCTTGGAAGACCACTCAGCCAACACTTCCTCTCCTTCCTACTCTTGCGAGACAGCTCTACATCCGGTCTGCCTGCCCCAGGGGCAGCATAGGAGCACAGGTTCAAACACTTCCCTCCCCGCGACACAGAGAGAGATTACAAACCACATCCTCTTCTAAGGAGTTCACCTGCTGTGTGGCTCCTCTTCCGACGGGGTTTCTTATTTGATTCAATCTGCACTAAGCTTCAGGCACCTTATAGGCAGGACCAAGCCATGCTGACCCTTGAGTCCTCAGCCCAACCAGGCACGGGGGTGGGGAGATCAGTGAGTAGCATGCTGTTGAATGCGACAGGTGTAACTTCCAGACTCAAATGCAACAGCCGGAGTGAAATGAACGGGGTTACTAATGGGTCAACTAGAGACTCTTTCTTCTAGTTCTTTATGTGTGTGTGAGTGTGTGCATGCACACATGGGCACATATGCACGCAGGTGCACTGTATGTGTAGGTAGGCGTGCATATGTGCACATGCATGTGTGAACATGTTTATGTGTGCAAATGCATGTACAAACCAGGAGCTACCCATCTGGTTTTGAATGGATGAAAAAGCTAGGTTAATTAATTAATTTTGTTTGTATATATATCATGGTATGTATGTGGAGGCTAGCTTCAGGAGTCATTTTTTTCCCCTTTTTTCTTCCTCTCACCATATAGGTCCTGAGGTCATTAGGCTTGACAGCAAGAACCTTTAGCCACTGCACCATCTCCCTGGTCCTTAATTTAGTTTGGGAGACAGGGTATCTCATCGGCCTGGAGCCCCCAACTACGCTCCACTGGCTGGCGAGGAAGCCCAGGGATCTGCTTGCCTCCCCTTGCTCACACTAGGATTATAGACGTTGACCTCACCATGCCTGGCTTTTCTTCCATTCCCTTCACTTTGTATTGGAGACAAGGTTTCTTCTGTGTGGCCCTAGCTGTCCCGAGACTTGTTCTATAGACTAGGCTGGTCTCAAAGGGCTCCGCCTCTGAAGTACTGGGAATCACGGTGTGCACTGCCACACCTGGCTTGCCCGGCTTTTCTTAACATGGGCTCGGGGCTCACACTCAAGCCGCTGTCTTGCGCAGCAAGTGACCAGTACTACTGGGGAGCGGCGTGCGCTTAAGCCACACGTGGGGGATTCAAGGCAAGAAGATGATGGAAATGTGAGCAGGAGTGGTCCTCCCCCCCCCCAGGAAGGGTGGAGTACCCAGGGTACTGAGGTGTGGACACATGGGGGTGGGAGGTACACTATACACACAGCCACGCACATTTCCTGAGGTTGGATGCACAAGTCCCTCCCCTGGGAAGTGGGTCTAAATACAGCTGCTAAGTTCAGGCCAGCTCGGCCAAAAGCAGCTCCAGAGGCCTGGAGAACAAAACCTGGCTGGTCTGGGGTTTGTTCCAGGCCTACAGGCTGCAGGGCATTATCTGAATGGCAGTGCCTTGGCTCACGGCAGCCTGGGCTCTAGTCCAGGCTCTGTCCTTTGCCAGCAGAAGAGGAAGTGTGGGGTGATTCCTGGCACCCTTATATTCTTATCTGTAAAGCAATGTCAATAACCGCTATTCTGAACAAGCCTGATAAGAGAACCAAACAAAAGGTGGGCAGGAGACAGATTTCTACGGCCACAGTAGGGCAGGGTCCCTGGAGGGCTGACAGCTTTTGCCTTTCGTCATTGCTGTTGCTAGCTTATTTTTATTTACCCTTTGTTTTGTTTTGAGACATCTCGCTATGCAGCCCTGGCTTGCCGAGGGCTCACTACGTAGACCAGGCTGGCCTCAGACTTGTGAGAATTCTCCTGCCTCTGCCACCCCAATGCTGGGAGTATAGTGCACACTGCCACACCTGACTTAGCTTTCTCTTGATTCTTTGAAAGAGGGTCACAAGTAGTCCAGACTGGACCCTAAGTCACTGTGTAGCTAAAAATCACCTGGAACTTCTAACCCTTTCGCCTCTACCTCCCAGGTGGGATTAAAGTGTGGCTCATCACAACAGGCTTGTGCATGGGGCTCAAATCCAGGGCTTTGTGAATGCGAGGTAGGTAAGTACCCCAGCAACTGAACTACATCCCAACCCTAGAATATTATTTAGTAATAAGAATGAAGTATTTTAAGTGATAGAATATGGATGAGCCTTGAAAATATTAGGCTAGGGCCTGGAGGGATAGTTCAGCAGTTAAGAGCACTGACTGCTCTTCCAGGGGTCCTGAGTTCAATTCCCAGCAGCCACATGATGGCTCACAGCCATCTATAGTGAGATCTGGTGCCCTCTTCTGGCCTGCAGGCATACACGCAGGTAGAACGCTGTATATATAATAAATAAATAAATCTTAAAAAAAAGAAAATATTAGGCTAAATGAAAGAAATCAGATCAAAACCTTTATATTGTATGGCTCTGTTTCTATGAACTATCTAGAGCAAAGAGTCCCCAGGCAGGGAAGAACTCGGCGGCCTGCGGGGGCTGTGGGAGGAGAGGGAATGGCTGTGACTGGCGGGTGGCCTTTCTTTCAAGTGGACGGGAGAAGGTTCTGGAAGTAGAGGGGAAGGATTGTACAACTCTGAGGACACCTGGAATACTTATTTAGAATTGTCAGTTTTATGGTTTTTAAAAACAAGATGGGAGTGGGGAGATGCTCAGGGGGTAAAGATGTTCCACCAGGCCCAAATATCTGAGCTCAATCCCCAGGATCCACAGGGTAGAAGAAGAGAACCAACTCCCCTAAGTTGCTCTTTGACAGACACATATGCATAAACAAGTATGAGAGATGTGTGTGTGTGTGTGTGTGTGTGTGAGAGAGAGAGAGAGAGAGAGAGAGAGAGAGAGAGAGAGAGAGAAATATTAGGGGAGGCAGAGACTTGGAGACAGGAGGATCCCTCACCTGGTGCTGTGTCTAAGGACTGACAATTGAAGTTGTCCCCTGACCTACACATGCTGGGAAATAATCCTCTTGTACATTTTAAAGATTTGTCACTCATACTGGTTTAATAAAATGCTGAATGGCCAGGAGCCAGGCAGGAAGTACAGGCGGGGAAACCAGACTAAGGATGATGGGAAGGAGAGGGCAGAGCGAGCAGATGAATGTGATATTTAAGAAAGGTATCAGCATGTAGCAGAACGTAAATAAGGAATATGGGTTAACTTAATATGTAAGAGCTAGTTAGTAATAATCCTGGCCTATTGGCTGAGCATTTATAAATAATATTGAGTCTCTACATGAAAATTTGGAAGCAGATGTTGGGACAGGGTGCAGGCAGATGGGCAAGAAACATCCACTTACATCCACATACATGGAACCCACAGATATATATGTATACATGCATCTGTACAACATATAAACACACACACACACACACACACACACACACACGACCAAAGCAGAGTATGTAAACAAACACACACAGCCACACTAGACTGCCAGAGAGACCTGGCTGGAAGTAGTTAAATGATCAAATTATGCCCCTTTAAGGTTTTTTTTCCAACTAAATGATTCTTATGTGTTAGAAATTTAGAAGACAAATGGAAACAGAAAAGTAAAAATTGGCCATTGTACCATTTCCAAAATCACGCACCAGAAACAGAGTAAGCTTTTACTAATGGATGTTAAATGGATCTTACCATTCCAATAGGCAAAATTGGTCCCACCTATAAACATGTACCTACAGAGAAATAAGAGAACACACGTACTTCACTGTGAGCCACAGCGACAGGGCTCCCTCTCCCAGAACTGGATACTCACAAGTTCACACTGGCCCCGCGGGCCAGCAGGTCATAGAGGGAAGCAGCCACTATTTCAGTCTTTACGGTGGAGTGGGGTTCACCCCAGTGGTCTAGCCAGCCAGTATAGAACTCAGAGTTGATCTGAAAAGGGAAAAGGGGGTGGAAAAAGGGGGTAGCACTTAAGAGACACGGATAACCTTCAAGAAATGCCGAGGAGTCCCTGTCGTGCCCTGTCCTCTTCTCCAAACAATAGGTGCTAAGGGAAATTGATACGCATGCTTAACCTGGAGCTCGGAGGGTCCCATGAGGACTTGCAATTACAACAGTGTCTATCCTGGGTCTCTGAGTGCCAGCCAGTTGTGACATCTCATCTTACTCATTGTAGACCCAACCAAACAGAGATATTTGGGAATGTAGCTCAGTTAGTAGAATGCTTGTCTAGCATGAATGAAGCCCTGGGTTCCATCCCTGGAATTGTATAAACTGGGTATGGTGGTACTCATCTCTAATTTCAGTTCTCAGGTGGTAGCGGCAAGAGGTTACAAATGCAAGGAAAAAAATCTTTACATTTTTTTTTTTTGACAAAAAGTTTGTGTCAGTACTGGAAGGTCCAGTCTCCACCCCTCCCCATCATCATTACCTAAATAATAAAGTAAGACATCCACACAGCATCTATGCTACATCAGGTTTAATCAACCTGGAGAGGATTTAAGCCTAGGACAGGATGTACAATATAAACCCACAAGAACTGCACCATTTTACAGAAGGGACTTGGGCAGCTACTGATTCCAGTATCTGAGGTTTAGAATCTCACATCCAATATTCAATCCTCCAGTTGGGACAACTGAGTCTCCCTTTCCTTTCATTTCCTCCCACTTCCCCCTTCTTCCACCTTCCCCCTTTCTCCTTTCCTCTTCCCCCTTCCCTTCCCTTTCTTCCTCTTCCTCCTCCTCCTCCTCTTCTTCCTCCTCCTCCTCCTCCTCTTTCTTCTTCTTCTTGAGACAGGGTTTCTCTAGATAGCCCCAGATTTCTTGGAACTCACTCTGTAGACCAGGCTGACCCCAAACTCAATAAAGATCCACCTGCCCCTATCTCCCAAGTGCTGGGATTGCTGGGATTTAAAGGTTTGCACCACCACTACCTGGCTTAAAAATCAACTGAGTGGGGGCTGGAGAGATGGCTCAGTGGTTAAGATCACTTGCTGCTCTTGTGGAGGACCTGGGTTCAATTCCCAGCACCCATATGGCAGCTCACAACTGTCTGCAACTCCAGTTCTAGGGGATTTGACATCTTCACACATGCAGGCAAAACACCAATGAACACAAAATAAAAATCATAAAAAAAAATCAACTAAGCCACTCTATGGGTGATGAGAATTGAACCCAGATCCACTGGAAAAGCAGTCAGTGCTTTTAACCACTGAGCCATCGCTCCAGGCCGGAACAACTGGCTCATTTTACCTACATCAGTTTTGTCAGCTGCTCCCACATTTCATGTCCCCTTCTCCCAACGCCAAAGCATTTAGCTGACAAGATAGTTTCATAAATAATTAATCCAGTCAGGCATGGTGGTGCAGAAATATAACCCAAGTATTTGGGGAGCTGAGGCAGGAGGATTATGTGTTCAAAGACAACCTGGGTTATATAATTAATTAATCTGAAACCAACTGGAGATCACCTAGGAAGACTGTATTGGAAATGAAAACACACACAAAAAAAAACAAAGGCTGGGGCTGTATCTCGATGGTAGAGAAATTGCTTAGCATGTGTAAGCCCTGCATTCAATCCCTGTGTGACGGGGCAAGACAGAGCACAGGCTCCTCCATCTTGTCTTCCTGCTGAGGCCATTTCAGGTTTAACTAGAATTTGATCTCCTTGATGGAGAATCCAGTGGAAAATTACCCAACTCTGCTCTAGGCCTTGAGGCCAAGATGCCCAGGCTAACTTTATCTTAGCTTCTGTTAAACTGTTTGTGTGAGGAAATCTCCCCCTGCTGCTGTTGAGCAAGATAAGAGGCAAGATTTTTGCCTTGGTCGGTGTCACACTAAGGCCTCCAATCCTTGAGCATCGTCCCAGCGGACTAGAAGCAAGACTTTCAACTGGCTATAAACTGTGTCTGAGTGGTCTTCTCTGGTGGGCTCCCCAAAACACCTTAATTAAAGACAAAAACAGCTCCAAATTCATCCTTTACACACGAGTCACTCTTTTTGCTTAAGTATTGATCTTGAGACCCACCTAAACATAAGGACGATCTGTCCACAGGCAACTTAACATCAGTTCACCGTCAGAAAGGAAAAAGAGGGACCCTGGAGAGGTTCCAGGAAGTAGCTCCGCCCATCTGAGCATGCGCCACAGAGCTCCAGCAGCGCTGAAATTTGTGCTCTTGTCTAAACAACAGCAGCTGCCGCTGCAGCCGGAGGGAAGAGCAAAACATGCAGGGTGGATGCAGGCCCAGCCTCGGCCTCCCTCTCCTCCCAGCAGCTGCAGCTCAGCGAAACTACACTCTTGGTGCTTCTTCCTGAGGTCCACCCAAGTACAGCAGAATGACGTCTGCATTTTACCCGATCCTCAAGCCAGGTGGGGAAGCTCAGAGTGTTAGAAACAAGTCTTCCAGCAAGAGGCTACTTGGAGGCTAAGGCATGTCTTTCTCCTCCAGAGAACTGGAGTTCAGTTCCCAGGACCCCACATGGAGCAGTTCCAGGGGATCCTGCATGCCTCTTTGGCCTCTGAGAATACCCACATGCATGGACATAGACATAAAATGAAACCTTAAAACACACACACATGTGAGCCAGATCCTGGCCCAGCGGCTCCCAGGCTCCTCAACTGACTGCTCCCTAGGGACGATGTAGCTCAGTTAGCAGACTGGCATCCTTTGTATGCAGGGAGCCCTGGGTTTGATTCACCACAGAAAGCTGGGTGTGGCCGTGCACGGTTGTTCCCAGCGTCTGAAAGGAGGAAACAGGAGGCTCGGGAGTTTAGAGTCAGCCTCGGTCACACACTGATTTCTGAGCCCTGGCCTGCACCAGACCCAGTCACTCATGAGTCCAGAGGGGTTCTATCCCCCTACCCCAAAGTCACATTAGCTGCTCACCCCAGAGCCAAAAATTAAAAAACAACCAAAGATGAACTGGTTTTCTTCTGCAGCCTGTCACCTCCTCTGGGACACGCTGCACCCCCAGTTCTTACCAAAGGGCCTCTAGGTTCGAACTTCCTCTGGGTTAGGAAAGCCTGTGTGATGTTATTGCCTGGAAATGACAAGCGGGAGAAGGAAAGTCAGTCACAGGCGTAAGAAGCCAATCTGTCTGCTATGTATGGTCACTGGTATGGAATTCACAAGCTGGACTCTAATCCCAAAGAAAATGTATAGGAAGTGGAGGGCTAACAAGAGGGCTCAGAGGAAAAAGGTGCTTGCCACCAAGGCTGAGGACCTGAGTTCAAATCCTGAGGACCCACACAGCACAAAGAGAGAACGATTCTCACAGTTACCCCTGAGCTCTGTGGCTCTTGCGCACGCCCCCCCCACATGTAAATAAATGCATGAAAAAATTTTGTCTTACAGATGTGGAGTTTCCAGGAAGTAACTTAGTCAGTCCCTCCTTTTCCCATTATGGATGAATGACATTTAATGTCCTATAATTGAGGGGACCTCTTACCCCTCTCTGCCATGTAAGGACTCAACAAGAAACTGATATGTGACCCAGAAGGAGAGGTCCTGGCTCAGCACGGCCTCCATGGGACCCCCGACCTTGGACTCTGCAGCACCCAGAACTGTGAGAGCAGCAGCTTTCTGTTTATTTCTTTTAATTTTTCCTGGGTCTCATTGTGAAGCTCAGTCTGGCGTGGAATCCACCATGCTACCCAGACTGATGTCAAAATCCATGATCCCCCTGCCTCAGCCTTCGGAGAGAGAACAGGTGTATACTACCACACCCACACATTAATTTACCGTAATAATCCAAACGGGGCTGGGGTGGAGATCAATCGGTAGAGTGCTTACCCAGCATGCACAAGGCTCTGGGCTCAGACATACAAACTGCGGGAATGACACAAGCCTGTGTATCTCCAGCTCTGGGGAGGGGGGACAAGGATATCAGTTCAAGGTAACCCTCACCTATGAAGAGAGTTGAGACCAGCCATGACTACAGACCTGTCAACAACAATAACACCTTAAACTGAGGGAGACAGTCCCTGTCTTCCTACACCCCTTCTTTCTGCTGTCTCCCTGAGCAGGCCTCCACGGCTATGGCTCTGCCTGAATGCATGCCCACACGTCCACTGCCTTCCAAGCTGCACTTCCCAAGCCCCCTCCCCCCATGTCTGTCTTTTGCCAGCCGACTGAGCTGCTCCCCTCCAGGATGGGCCTGCTCTAGAGACCTTCCTTGTGACTCAGAGCACTGTCCACACAAGGGAGCTCCGGATGTCTACCAGCTAACTTGCAGATACAAGGGACGAGGCCACTCTGTGTTACTCTCTGATGAATGGAGACCGTTCTGAATATCAGTCTATACACCTCAGCCATCCAGCTCCTTGTTTTCAACCACCCTTCCCTCTCCTCCCCTCCCTTCTTTCTCTTCTCATTTTATGTGTGTATCCTCTTTATAAAAAAGATTGAGTTATTCATTATTTTATGTGTACATGTATGTGCCTGAGGGTGCATCTGTGTACCACATGCATGCAATGCCTGCCAAGGCTAGAAGAGAGTGTCTGATCCCCTGGGGCTATGGTTGTGAGCCTGTAGGTGTTGGAAGCTGAACTCAGGTCCTCTGTAAGAACAGCAAATACTCCTAACCTCTGAGTCAGACCCCTTGTGTGTAAATCTTATAAAACAGGGTCTTAACATGTAGTCTTCCTAATCTAGAATTTATCACGTGTCTATTGTAGTCCAGGCCGGCCTCTAGGTCAAAGCAATCCTCCTGCCTCCTGCCCTGTGTCCCGAGTACCAGGATTACAGTTATGTGTCACCACACCCTGAAGGGGTTTTGTTGTTGTTGCTGTTGAAGTCAGGCTCACAGATAGCCTCGACTGGCCTTGAACTTGCTACATAGTCAAAAACCAGCCTTGAACTGTCATTAAAAAAATATTTTTATTTATGTGTACATTGTGTACCTATGTGTGGGGGCCCACGGAGGTCAGAAGGCTTTGTATCACTCAGAACTGGATCTACAGATGATTGTGAGCCTCCATGTGGGTGCCGAAAATCAAACCAGGGTCCTCTGAAAGAACAGCCAGTGCCCTCACCTACCGACACGTACCAAGCCACATGGCAGAGTGTAGGTAAAAAATATGGGTTAATTTAAAATGTAGGAGTTAGCTAGTAACGAACCTGAGCTATTGGCCAAGCATTTACGATTAATAATAAGTTTCTGTGTGGTTATGAGAACTGGCTGGTGGGAAAAAAAGTCTGACTATATAGTCTCTCCGGCCCTGCTTTAAAACTTTTAATCTCCATTTGAATCTGTTTCTTCATGACATTTTTATTCAGTCACTTTGTGTATGTGTGTGTGTGTGTGTGTGTGTGTGTGTGTGTGTGTGTGTGTGAATACACGTATCAGCGCACACATGCCATGGAATGCCCTTGGTGGTCAGAGGACAGCCTGTAGGAGCCAGTTCTCCCCTTCCACCATGTGGGTCCCAGGAATCAATCTCAGGTCATCAGACTCGACAGCAATCACCCTTACCTACTGAGCCATCTTGCATCTTGCGCAGCAGTGCAAGAACAGTATAAAGAAGCTGAGGGGAGGGGAGGCACATGTCTAGAACCCCAGCACTTGTGAGCCGGAAGTAAAGGGATCAGAGGCTCAGGGCTATCCTTGGCTAAACCATGAGTAAGAAGCCAGCCTAAGTTATGAAAAAACCCTGTCTCAAAGACATCGGGGATATGTCCCTGAAAGAGACAGCAGTCCCATCTCTGGCTCCGTTTCTTAAGATTTTAGGCCCTGAGGTAAATGGTCTCCTTTATCATACGCTTCCAGAAGGACTCTCTTGTTCCAGGACAAGCAAGACTGTGGACTGAAACTTCTACAACTGTGAAGTAAAACAAACCTTCCTTTTTTTTTTTTTCTTTCTTTTTTTTTGATACAGAGTTTCTCTGTGTAGCTTTGGAGCCTGTCCTAGAACTCACTTTGTGGACCAGGCTGGCTTTGAATTCACAGAGATCCACCTGCCTCTGCCTCTTGAGAGGCAGGATTAAAGGCGTGCGCCACCACCGACTGGCCGAGCCTTCCCTCTTTATAAGCTTGCTTGCTGCCTCAGGTATTCTGTCACAGCAACGCTAAGCCGATTAACTCGCTTGATAAGGGAACTGCGGAGACAGCTCATTCTATCTGCTCAAGACGCTGAGGCAACAGCTGGGCTGACAGCGACTGCACGAAAACCAATTTTCTAGTTGTCACAAACACTGACCTACTCCAAAATCCACTGTGGCATAGAGGCCCTGCAGGGTCCCACACCGCAGAAAGATTTCATTTGCCCCATCGGTGGTGAAGAGAAGGACGTCATTGCCCAGATGGTAACGGAAGCGGTGTGCCAGGAAACGCAGGTAGTCATAATCACAGGCGAAGTAGGAGCCGTACTCATTCTCAACCTGTGGAAACGTTTAGAAAGAAGAATGAAAAATGCCAGCGCAGCCTTAGCATCCCTGGGAACTCTAGTTCCCACACCCAGAACACATCCTCTATCCAGGAAGGGAGGCAGGGGCAGATCCAGCCTGAACTGGTTTGGAGTGCGTGAGCAATAAAGCAAGTTGTGCCCTCCGAGTGAACTTGTTAGGGAGAATCCCCTGCTTGTAGCCTTAGACCTCTGCCTAATTAGATGTACATATAAAACTGGGTGCACAGTGGGGAAAGACATATACAGTAGAGAAAAGCCTGCATATCCCGTCTGTCAATCAAAACAGTGGGAAGATGGCTTGGTGGATAAAGGAGTTAGCTTGCACAAGTCTGACAACCCCAGGTCAATATGTGATGGCCAGCACACATCTATAATCCTGTGGCAAGAAGCGGGCAGGGGGTGTGGGGGGTGTGGGCAGAGATAGGCAGCTCATCCAGAGGTCCCAAACCTGCTAGCCTGGAGCAAGCAATGAACCCAATCCTGGGTCTTGATCTCTGACCTCCACATGTGTATAATGGCGCGTGCGAGCACACACACACACACACACACACACACACACACACACACGAAACAAAGTGGGGAAAAAAGACCAGAAACCCACCGACTCCTACAGGGCACCCCTTAGTAACCAGCTCTTCCTCTAGATCTAGATGCCCCCAGGAGGCAGCTGTGCTGCTGAGAGTCACCTGATGAGGGAGCCTCAGTAAGAAAATGCCTCAGGTTGCAGGTCAGCCTGTAAACCACTTTCTTAATTAGTGATTGATGGGGTAAGGCCTGGCCCATTGTGGGTGGGGCCATCCCTGGGCTGGTGGTGCTGGGTTCTATGAGGAAGCAGACTGAGTAAGTCATGAGGAGCAAGACAGTCAGCAGCTCCCCTCCATGGTCTCTGCATCAGCTCCTGCCTACAGATTCCTGTCCTGTTTGAGTTCCTACCGTGACCTCCTTTGAAGGACAGTGATATGGATAAACCCTAAATAGACCCTTTCCTCCCCAAGTTCTTTTGGTCATGGCGTTCATCACAGTAACCATAACCCCGACTGTGACAGAGGCCTCAGACACTAATGAGTTTTACTCTAACTCAGTGGTTCTCAACTTCCCTAACGCTGCAACCCTTTACTACAGCTCCTCATGCTGTGGTGACCCCAGCCATAAACTTATTTTCACTGCTGCTTCATAACTCTGACTTTGCCACTGCTATGAATTATAAGTATCTGATATGCATGAAAGGGTCCTTCAAGCCCCAGGGTGAGAACCACACTGCTATGAATTATAAGTATCTGATATGCATGAAAGGGTCCTTCAACCCCCAGGGTGAGAACCACTGTTCTAACTCAAGGAGTCGCTGCTCTTGCGCCGCCTGCCCCGTGCGATGGCTCTGCTTCTGTGTTGTCCCTTCTGCCGCTCTGGAGTCACCTTGCAGAGTCTGTGTGGTTCTAGGCTACCGAAGAAGACACCGCAACCTGGGGACACTCAGTCCCGAAAGTGACGCCCTCCTCTCTTCTCTGGAAACAGATGAGCGCGGCCAAATGTGTTTGCTGTCACTGTGAGGAGACAGCGTTTCACACTGTGGCTCAGCACAGAACTCACTGTGAATTCACACAGTCCTCCTGGATCGGCCTCCTGGGTCCTGGGATTTTAGGCATGAATCAGCAAGCCTGACTTCTCTTTACTCATTTTAGGTGAAAACTGAGATTAACATTTCAGGTGAAACCCCACCCTTGGCGTCCCTGGGCTGGCTTGCCTCTCCCAAAAATAAACATTTACATATCTGGGGCAAATCTGGTGCCTTGAATCTGGAAGGGCGCAGGTGGAAGAGCCGACTCTGGGCTAAGATCAACAGCGTGAAGACCCAAGTTGGTGGCACATATCTGTAACTATAGTGCTGAGATGAGGAGACAGGTAGACTCCAGGGCTCACTGACCAGCCAGCCTCGTCACTCTGCAGGCTCTAGGTTCAGTCAGATCCCATCTTTTTGTTTTTAAGCTTTATTTTTTTATGTACATTGGTGTTTTGCCAGCATGTACGTGTGAGGATGCTAGATCCCGTGAAGCTGGAGTTACAGTTGTGAGCTGCCATGTGGGTGCTGGGAATTGAACCCAGGTCCTCTGGAAGAGCAGCACTAAGCCATCTCTCCAGCCCCAGCGAGATCCTATCTTTGAAAAGTAAATGGGAGCTGGGCAGTGGTGGTACATTTAATCTCAGTACTCGGGAAGCAGCGGCAGCAGATCGCTGTGAGTTCGAGGCCAGCCTGGTCTACAAAATGAGTTCCAGGCCAGCCAGGGCTACTCAGAGAAACCATAACTTGGAAAACAAAACAAAACAAAAACAAAACAAAACAAAAAGTAAATGAGGTGGGACTTGGACGTAGCCCAGTTGACAGAGTGCTTCTGTAGGAACAAGAGCCCTGGTGTGGATTCCCAACTGTGCACAAACCAGGCACAGATGTGCACCTGTAATCTCAGCATCTGGAGGCAGACAGGAGGGTCAGGAGTTCAAGACCAGTCTCAGCTCCATTGAGTTAGAGGCTGGTGAGACCCAGCATGGTGGACCACACTCATCATCCTAGGGCCAAGGAGGTTGAGGCAGGAGGACCATTGGGTCTGAGGCCAGTCTGGATTACACAGGGTAACTACACCTTACACAAAACAAAACACCCAGGATGACAAGCAGGGAAATACCCAATTACGTGCAAAGACTTGGAGATGTGAAAAGGGCCTTGGGCCTGTGAATGAAGTGAAAACACCGCACAGGAAATGGGTCATATCATATGAACTGCAGAAAGGAAGAGACAGGGGAGAGAAACTCTCCTCTAGAAATAACCACAGCGCGGCGAGCTTTGCTTCTGGCTCCCGAGGGCTGAGGGACAGACACAGGGCTTTCTGCCTTCTCTGCTTGTTAACTCAGTGTACGGGGTGGGGATGAACAGGTGCAACTGTAGCAGGCAGAGATTGGAGAGAAAGAGGATGAGGAGGTGGACCAGAAGAGGGTAGAGTGGCCAGCTAGAAGCAGTGACCGAGATGGACAGAAGAAATGTCCCCCAAACACATACACATGCGTGTGTTGGGGAGCAAGAGTGTCATGGATCTGTGGAGGTCAGAGGCCAATTCTGAGTAGTCAGTTCTCTTCCTCCACCTTCCCACGGGCTCCAGTGTCGGAGACCAGCTTCAACAGTACATCCCTTTCCAGGGTAGGGGCCTGGGGATTAGAAAAATCAGTAAAGAGAAAGAAGACGCAAGTGAAAACAAACAGAAGCATAGGACAGTACCGGGAGGGCAACTCAGCGGATCCTGAATGCTGAATTCTGACTTTTGAGTTCTGAGTACTGAGTCCACCCATGTTTAATATTCCATACATTTTTATACTCCAATACACAAAGGGGGAAGGAGGTGAAAGACTGCTTTAATGTGATACGAAGGATAACTAGAACAGTTACTTGTTTCCATACTTTGGGACATCAAACCATTAATTCATGAGAAAAGCATTCTGTTGTATAGGCAGTGAACCCACCCTAGACCAAGTACCCTGAAGGCAGTCACTCTCTAGGTCAAGCCTCCTAATTCAAAAGAAGGAGCAGAAGTATGCTTGAATTCTCCGACCTTTGGTCAGGGCGGAGTAGATCTACCTGTAGGGGGAAGGTGCACCTTAATGTCTAAAAATGCCAAGTAACCACACCCTAGGTCAGGGCGTGTAGCCACAGTTGTTGTCAACAACTTGGCCAAGCTGAAACTCTCTGACCTTCAGACAAGGTGGCATAGGCTCACATTTTTGGGCCTCCACACTCTGGGATGGAACTCAGGCTGCCAGACCCGAGGTGAAGCACTTTTACCAGCTCTCTGCACTCGAACACCCTATGTAGATCAGGCTGGCCCACACACCTTCCCGCAGTCCTTCTGATCTGCCAAAACAATAGTTGCATTCAGAACGGTTGCCTGACAAAAGCCTTTGCCTTGGCTTTTGAGACAGGGTCTAGGGCTGGCCAAGAACTTAATAGGTTAAGCGGCTGGCCTCAAACTCCTGATCCATCTACCTCTGCCTCCACACGCTGAGATTTTAAGTGTGTGTCACTATGTCCTATATCTGATCACAGTTTTGATGAAGTTTCTCTAACCAAAAGATGCTGGAAAGTTGTGAGCAGAAATTGAAAGTGACTCAAGATGTAGTCAGGATGGAGATGACGGAGACGGAGCAGCTGAGAAGTGGCTCTCCCCCAAGACCAGGTCAAAGGAAGAAGAGCCAAGGGGCTGGGAGATAGCTCTGTGGGTAGCAGTGCTTACTGCCTAAGCATGAGGACCCAAGTTCAAATCCCATGTGAAAAATCAGGCCTGTCCACATGCACAGGTAACCTCAGTGTTGGGGACAGCAGTGACAGGAGGCCTCTGGGGCTTTCTGGCTGTGCGTGTGCGCGCCACACACACACACACACACACACACACACGCACGCACACACGTGCACAGAAGATCCAGCTGCATAGAGCAAAGCCATGCCCACGTTTCAGACTCACTGTCTTCACACAGGAAGCTGTGGCCGCTTGGTGCCAACTCTTCTTGAATAAAAGACCAAGGGGCACTTAGGGTTCATGGTTCATGAGCTCCATTTCTCAAGAGCCGACACCCAGCCTCTCAAAGTGGACGCCTGACCTACTCAGCCCTCCCATCACCTCGTGCCACCTACACCCAATGGCCACGCTCCCTCTCTATCAGGGCTCATCCCTACCGCAGTTCCTAAGCAAGAATATGAACCAC